GTGAGTCGTTATTCACTGTAAAACTACAAAAATACTGAATATTATAAATCTACAATTTTGTATTATTTTAATTTTACATCGCAGTTAGGTCCATATCCAAGGGAAGAGAGGATTAGGGGGTTCACCGCCCCCGCAGGCACATAGAAACTCGCACTCCGCAACGCCCACCCCCGAACAACAAAAATACAACTATAAGCGTTAGATATTAGATATGTTTTTCACTAAAAAAAAGATTGATTTTGTTATACGAGTACCTACCATATAGCCTTTTTAAGTACTATCAGGTGAATAAAAAGTATGGAACCAAACGTTTTTTGCTTTAACTACTTATTGTTAGGAAAAACTAATTGATGAACGATAATGTATTTTAAAGATGTGATGTTTTATCAAGAAAACATTGAAGTTTTCTTTTGTTCTTGAGTTCTACAAAAAAATGTTTTTTTAAATAGCAACCCACTATAAAACTATTTTTCTCATAAAGGTTATGATCTAAGGATTACAACTATCTACTCATATATAATTTTTTCAAAAACTTTTTTTTACATAAATTGCAATTTTGATAAAAAAAATCGCATAACTGAAAAACAAGACACAATTTCGTCCTCAAAATACGATCTCAATTTTTATATTACGTTAATTTATATTAATTATTATTTTCTGAAGACAAATGATTTGAAAAAAAAAAACTGCTTGGTTCCATACTTTATATTCACCCTGTATATTAAAAATTTATTTTATACGCAAACGACACAAAATTGACCCTTTTATGACTAATATGCAGGATAGCCAACGTTAAAACTACAAAAATACCGGGAATTTTTACTTTCAAATTGTCAAGTTACGCATATTTTGCTAAATTAGTATTGAATTGCTTTTGTAGCAGTTTCTCTTACTTCTGGGGGAGTACACTGCGTCATTTCAACGATTTTAGATCAGATTCACACAATATTTTCTTTGACATTTCTGAAATGTCAAAAATCAAACGCCATTTAGATGGCCTACCACGTTTGGACCTTAACTTTGTTAGAATTTTATTTTGCTCAAATTTTTAACTGAAAAACTAAATTTTGAAGCTGGTGCATTTCGAGCATCTTTTATAATTTTGTGTTGTTTTTTTGCAAAGAATAAATTCTAGTTTATCACGTTGTTCCTATTTCAAAACCAGAAACTGTCAAATATCAAAAACAGACGGAGATTATGGCGTGTCCTTGATTCACACTGTCCCCACCAAAAAATAATTAAAAAAAATCTGATGCAAACATCACACAACTTTCCTTATCCAACTTATTTAGAAAACATCCTTACGGTGTTGGAAATCCCAGTAGCAAACCTAACGTTTGCGTTAGTGCCACCTGCCGGATTACACACGAAGTAGATCATATTTGCCGCGAGTTCGAGTTATTATTATTATTATTATTATTATTATTTTATCACATTTTACTGTTTAATAAGGTATATTTCATGATTCTAAAAAAAATTTATCCCCATGAATTTATTTATAGTATCTTCAACAGTGTAATTTTGATTTTTGGTCTTTGCGGCCGAACGGTGCAACCGATTTTTACCAATTGTTTCGTGCTACGTCCTCTTGCTACTTACATACCAAATTTCAAGTTTCTTACTCTTATCGTCAATGACCCAAACCAACTTTTTTGGTGTCTTGAAGCTATAATTCGTCAAGAAATGTAAAAATCTGGGTAGGTCAAATTTCAGCCGATTACAATACTAAAAATGGACAATGAAATACTTAAAAAAAACTGCGTTAATTTGTGTAGAGTATTTATGATTCTTTAAAGTGGTATTGCACCAGTAACATTTTAATATTATTCTAATTACGAAACAAATTTACAAATGTGAAATTAAAAGGTTTCACGTCTGCTGCTGTGATTTGAGTGAATCCGTTCTGGAGCTTGCAAAAAGCACTTTTTATGGAAGCTTGTCTACATAACACCGTCCATTTTAGATGGCTATAATGCGAAAATGCTTACTGAGACAGTAGAGACAGTATCACGTGTCCGACAGATTAATGTAGGCGATTTGCAAGCAATAACAATGTGTTACAAAGTTTTTGGTCGAGTAGGCGGCTGGAGTCGAGACGAAATAAGTCATTTTGCATATTTATCCCTAAGAAATAAAATTCATTTGAGCGCTGACAACTTGTAGACACTTGTGATTATGAAATTGATTTCGCTTTTCTACGAAACTGTATTACAAATGTTTTCTTCTGGTTAATTACTTTTCGCTTGGCGCAAATCTCAGGTGATCAATCAGCCTGCACAAATGTCAGTTCAGAATACTGACAGATTCAATCTTTGAAACCACTTATCATTCTTATGGGAATTATAACTAAAGGTGTTAATAAAATTATAACTACATATTAAGACGACAAGAGTTTTAAAATTCGTGGTCATAGATTTTTACACCATAAAATATTATGTTCTTATTACATTATTAAAATTATTTATTCGTATTATTACTATAGGAGAAGCTCAGCAAAGTAGCTGACCTCTGGTGCCAGGCTTAAAACTATCCAAATAAGGAAACCATATTTTGACAATATCAGTTTTCCATTTTTGTCAATTTGACAAGTCAATGTAAATATAAGTATTTGCAAGCGTTTTTGTTCTCTACTTCATTGCAGAAACAGATGACAGATTAAATAAAATTTTTAAGTTGGCACAAAATTCCATCAAAACTCCGCCACATCGTCGTCTAAGCTGAAATTTGAATTTGCCGAGTGAGTTACTAAGAACTCATTGTTGCCAACAGAGAATTTCACATGACTTACCACTCTAATAATGTAAGCAAATTTTACATTAGCTTGAAAAGCATCTTTATTCAATGATTGATGTGTTTTATTAAAAAATTAACATTTATTTTCAAAAAACATTCAGAAAACACAATCATTGCAAGGGCTTTTAGCTGTTGGCAACAATGACTTCTGAGTAACGCTAACCCGGCAAATTCAAATTTCGATTTTGTGAAGGCCATTTTCGCCAAATAAAGTTAATTGGAGAATCGACAAAAATGTCGATTTTCGAGAACTACATCGAACGTAGAGACAAATTTTTCGCATATTTTGTGGTGTCAAAATTCTTTGCACTAACTTAACTTTCCATTTGTAACAGATTAATTTAACATTTCCGTAATCATTACTGTCGTGTAATAATAGGAACCTGTGAATCTTAAAAAAACCGTAAGGTTTATAGGAACGTAGGTACAGTTGCGAAATTAAAATTTCGGACAGTATTTTTCTGTCACTTTACTTTACACTGTAAACTACCTATTACTATCATCACTAACATTTGACAATTAAACTTTTCTGTCGGTGACGTTATTTTTGAAAGCAAATAGGTAAGTCAAAATGACATAAAGATGACAAGAGTAAAAAATGAGGTTATTAATATAAAGGTTGTTTCAGAGTTTACCTTATGAAAATGACAATACTGCCCGAAATTTTAGTTCCGCAACTGTACATACAACTCCATTTACTTGTACTTGTACTTAGTTCAGAATTTAGGTTTCGTTTCTTTTGAAATTTCGTATTTTAATAAAATTTTTCATTTCACTTTTAATTTTTTTATATAAAAAAATAGTGGACGTTCTTGGTTTTTTAAGTGTCAGTAAGGTCCAGTTGTAACGCAGATGTTGTTACACACAAAACAAATGTTTGTAATCTATTTTACTTCAAAAAATGCTGTTTTATTTCCTTTTCATTGGTCACATTCAAAAAGCTGAAATTTGCAAATGTAAACATTTAAAAAAGAAAATACGTTTTATCGCTAACAGTCATGCTTGAAGAAAGAATTCCTCGAGAGATTTTGGTCTATTTACATAACACCCTGTATTTTATTTCATATTCGTGAGATTAATTGATAGGCAACTATAAAATGGTTTTTATCATTGTTAAGTTGGTGGACATTTTACGAAAACCAAAATACCATTTCAAAAATACCTACATGACTTGCTGAAAAAGCAACTTTTTTAATTTCATCGCATTTAATAAATATTTGCTTTCTACTCCAACTTTTCATTGAAAACTTATTATTACTTACCACTTTAAAAACTTTATAAAGTTTAGTGTCAATCCTTGTTTTCAAATTAAATTTACAAAGCCGTCTGAATCAAAAAGCGTAGACGGCCTCGTAAATTTACATGGCCAACTTCATCTGTCTTCCGCTGCGCTCCATACGGCCGTAACATACTGTCGATTTTATATTAATGCGTTGAATTCTACTAACCTCAAAAAATCGTCCGGTAACAAGCGTCATCTACTTGATAACTTAAAGACTATAGATATTTCAAATTTGACAATTTTTGTCAAATTTTCAATCATTCTTTTAAAAAGTTCAAAGATCGGCAAGAAATGTTTTGTTTGTAGAGAAAAAGATACTTTATTTGAAATACTTAGCGATATAGCAGCTCGTGC